GCCCACAGTTAGTCTTAATTTATATTTTATGTGACAATCAATCGATTCATGAGGAATGGACCAAAACAATACCTAAGGTAAAAGGTATATACACACAAATCGAACCGATTTGTAAAGCATTACAAATCGATCAAAAATATTGTGATCGAGCTATGATCTCGATAAGTTTTAATAGAATTGATCCATTATTTATGTATACACAATTGTTAAAAGAAGCACTTTTGCAAATAGAAGATGATGATGCAAAATCGATTAAGGAACTCGTTGAATACTGTCGTCTTCAAAGCGATGCTTCCGAAAAAACACTTGAAAAGATTGAAGAAGAATATCGTAATCATTCACCCATTTGGTGGTACACAGGTCCATATTTTATCTACTCAATGCTTAATTGTGGTCTTCGACAAATGGATGTCGATATTATCCTGAAGATGGGTTTCTTCATCCGTCATTTACATCAACATATTAAAGAATTACATCGTGAACAACAAGGGAACATGCCAACAAATTTTCAAGTCTTCCGTGGACAAGGTTTGTCCATGGAAGATTTTGAAAAAATGAAAAAAACCAAAGGAGGACTTATGTCCTTCAATAATTTTCTGTCAACAAGTCGCAACCGTGAGATATCTTTCAACAAATTTGCACGACCAGCAGCGTTAAATACAAATTCAGTTGGTGTTCTCTTCATTATGAACATTGACACGGCTATTTGCACAAAATCATCAACACCATTTGCTGAAGTAAGCAAAGTTGGTTACTACAAAGATAAAGAGAAAGAAATACTATTTTCAACACATGCGATTTTTCGTATCGATCGCATTGAACAAATTCACGATAATCACTGTGATCGGCTATACGAAGTTACTCTCACTATTGTCGGTAATGACAATCACGAATTGAACACACTTACTGCACATATACGTGAGGAACTTGGGAACCATAGAGGATGGTCTCGACTTGGGTACATACTTATTAAATTGGGTGAGCCTGCAAAAGCAGAACAACTCTATCAGATCCTCATTGAAAACGTACCTTCTGATAAACATAGAGCAGTTTACAATCATCAACTTGGCTGGGTGTATTATAACATGGGAGAGCATTCAAAAGCACTTTCATATTACGAAAAATCACTGGATATCAACAAGAAAATTCTCTCTCACAATGATCCCAGTTTGGCTTGGTCCTACCTCAACATCGGTGCGGTGTATTGTAGCATGGGCGAGTACTCGAAAGCAC